AAATTGCTGTGACCAGAATTTTGGCGAGAGTCTTTGCATATTTACCTTCTTTCATTTCTCAGATTCTGGACTTTATCTATTGACCGATTTTGATTTTGACTTTGATCTATTTTGAATTGCGTGACACTGAAAACCAGCAATAGTCAGAGTAAGGTAGGTTCCTCCCCAGTTCCCTTCTGGCTTGGTTTAGCACTACGAGAATGACATATTTCCATATGAAGTTACTAACTCAGACACCACAAATGGTAAAACAGGTTTTATTTCCCTAAAATTTCACACTATTACTTGCTATAATAATAATTTGATTGGTCTGTGATGGTTAACGAAACAACAGAACTTGGAGGACAAGACTGAAAAATTGTGGCTAGGTTACATGAAGAATTTGATCAACAGCAAATGAACTGTTGGAAATAGCTTTCAAATTGATCTTTAAGCGAACACAGCAGTAGATGGGAACCATTACAGGGAAATACACAGAGCAGGCTATAGTTTGCAACTGCTCATGATGGATCATATGAAGTGTGTTTAGTGTCACGGTGTGTGTAGTGTCACGGCAGCTTATGCCAGTGTCACACCATTTTTGGTGACTCTAACCCACAGTTTTTAACTGCAAATAGAAGACTTGAAAAATAGTATGGCCAGGCATATTTAAAGGGTTTAAATGATGACAAATAGTTACTGTGATGCAATAAGTTAATGCATTACAACTAAAAAGAAAAATACACATAACTCATAATTTGAAGTACACTAACCACAAGTGCGGAGGAAAATGATCACCATTTAGGAGATTTCTTTTACTTCATTTAATAAGGAAAAATACCTACACTTAAATTAAAAAAAAGTCTTATCTATAAAATAAAATCAAGCTATCCTGTTTATCCATGACTCCTAATTTACACAATTTAAAGCCAACAAAGGAACTTTGTCATTGAAAGTACACAGCCAACCGGTTCTCATCTCACATTTCGTTCAACTCCTGCATGGTAGAATCAAGTTCTTCCTTGACTTTTGCATAATCTGACTTAGCACCCTCCAAATCCTCTGCAAAAAAAGGCAAAGAAGAAATGTGAAACCAAATTGCCTGAAACACTAACACCAGAGTAATGGATGTCCAACAGTAGCAATTAAATAATGAAAGAATGAAAAATGCAAATGCAGCCATAACACTCTGGAAAAAATGACCTGAAAAAATTTCATGCTCTGAACGGGATTGGCAATTAAATAATGAAAGAATCCCATTCAGAGCCTGAAATTTTTTCAGGTCATTTTTCCAGTAGTGTTATGGCTGCATTTGCATCTTTCATTCTTTCACAAACACCAGAAATGACAACTGCTCAAATCAACAACTTAGGCACTGGTGGAGATTCTGCAATCATTGTTAATTTACCCTTTTATTTCATAAAGCTCGAGTCCATTTTGAAAGATAGATTATGAACAAACAAACAAATAGCACCACACTGTCCAATGAGTTTGAGAAAAACTTATGATATTTCAAACTGTAGTTAAATGGAGAACCATATTACACCATGATGTCACCTCAAAGTGCTTCTCAGGTTTTGTGTACACGTACATGCAGGTTGTTTCTTGTCCATCAGCTCAGGTTTGTTCTTGTGTTTACATAGACAACATTTTAACTATGATAAACATTAGTTTCAGGGTTTCTAAATTGAAGTAGTGCTTATTAAAGACAGCTTAGTCTGTTGCCTCTACTTCATTGTGGAAAATGTGCATGTGCCGACAAAACCGATACATGTACATGTACATCATGCCCGCAAAAAATATTGCTCTTGCTTCGAAGGTACATAAAATAGCTGCACTCTCTAGATTTTCACCATTTTATTTCGTCAGAAAGATCAGATCATGATTACTTCAGCAAAACAAAATTGTTTATTAATAAACTTTACCACAAAAAGTACCCAGCGCAAATGCTTAAGTAGCCGCGGGTGCCTTGCGCCAGGTACCGGCTTACTTTGAAAACCCTGTAGTTTGAGTAAAGTTCTCTTGTGATAGGCTAAAAAGTGCCCAAAACTTTGGTTTGGTTTAGTTTTTGATAGTACACAGCCTGGAGTTCTGAAGTTGATGGAGTTTCTTTCCATCAGTAGCCTGTTGAAAAAGCTCAAGGGTTCTTTCTGGTGAAGGTATCCATTTCTCTTTCTGAGAATGTGAGAAAAATGTCACAAGAAGAAATAACCAAAACTGCACTAGATCATTTTTACAAATTTTGCTTGTGACATGAAGACAACAAGGTTAATGTCAACATCTAGTAATCAGATGATGTGTAAAACCAAATGAAATCAAAAAAATCAAATTTTAAGTGCAAATTAACTGTTGTTTTTGTGATTGTTGGTGTTGTCATACATGAAGTTAGAGTGACCTCAGGGTTAATTATTCACCATCACCTGTCCAAACTGAAAGGTATCAATATGTCCTTTGCATGAGGAGTCACATGGTACAACATCAGCTATATGTATGCTGGGACAAAAGTTCTTTAGTGGGGCATCCTGAACAAAGGAAAGTCAAGCCTGACTAGTGTGAATTGCATTGTTTTGGATGACACAGCATAACATGCAGCCCACCATGGCTAATTTTGTACCATGTGATTGGGTTGTGCAAAAGGCCTATTTCATTTGATTCAAGGCAACTGTTTTTAGCCTGTAAACACCATCTTACCTTCCAAGCGACCAATCTCTTTCTCGAGTTCTGTAACCCTTGTTTCAGCTTCATTTGCTCTCTCTTCAGCCTACAAAAAAAACAGCTCTAATAAATTCAACAAAAAAATCTGAACATAAAAAGTTTGAAATATTTAATTTTTATCTCGCTGGCAATCAAATGTTCTTTTACAGGGTTCGTACCCTTTTTCAGAAACAAATTTCCAGGAGTTTTCCAGGAGTTTTCCAGGACTCAGATTGATTTTTCCACGACTCTAAAATTCACATTAACCCTTTCACTCCCAAGATCTTAATGTTAATTCTCCTTACTGTCTGCCATACATCTCATATTTTTTTACTTGAGTTTAANACCCTGTTTTTACTTATTCGGGTGTGCATGGCTTACATCTACCATTCTGTACAGCTAGCTAAATAGGCACATTTACACGTCTACATGCAACCTTATCTAGATATCTTCATTTTACTTATTTTTTTGCTGAAAGAAATAGAGCAGATATTGTGTTACATAACCAAAGCTTCAAAACCAGAACAGTTTTCAAAATGCCCCAACTCCAAAACAAGTAGGGTGACCCCCAATTTTATTTGCATTCTAGACTCGAGTTGGTTGTTATCCAACTACAAGAAAAGCTTCAAAAGCATCTCAATGCGAGAAGATTTGAGTGCAAACATCCTTAAACATCCAATCCAATAACCAAACTGAAACATACGCACTAAAGTTTGGAAGATGTAATCATGAAATTTCTAGAGTTTTAAAGTAAATTAGCATACTTCTGTGTACTCTTTTTCCAGTTTCTTAATTTTGCCGTCATAGTCCAATTCTCGTCTGGTTGCCTGCAAAGGATAATACCAATAACAAATTACATCAAATCAAGGGTGATTATACATTTAGAAAACAGGTTTGTTCTCAACTAAACATATTCAATATTTTTGTCAGCATTACAAAACTCTTGAGCATGAAAACTTTTGACTTACTTCTCCTTCGCTGACCTCTAAACTTCGCAAATTGTTTCCAACCAAAGTAACTTCTTCCTCAAGAGTTTTCACTTGTCTGTGGATTCACAATGAAAACAGAAACCTCTAATTATTTGTTTAACACAAAAAACTGACAGATTAAGGCCTGTTTCAAACACAGTTGAACCTCAACTAATGGCAACCTCTCTACAAGATTCATATCTCCATACGAGTAACTCTTATTCAAGCCTCCCTACAACAGTTGAGCCTCTCTAGAACTCCAATTTTATCTCTATGGTAGGTACAGCTGTACATTACTTCTTGAACATGTCACAAGCCAGTAATCAAGGTCACAATGCATGTAACCCTATTGTATTTAGAAGGGTGGTGGCAACTTTATCTACAATATATCTAGGAGCAATTTGGTATGGCATTTTACTCAACACTTTTAAAATGTTTCCATAACATGTTTTGCAGCAACCTTGCCCATGCAGGGAATCTTTTAAGTGCAAATAGCATAAGTGCAAATAGTGCAAATAGTGCAATTAGCAAATAGCATATATCCCATATATTCTCTTTGCGTGAGCCTCCATTGCATGCTAGTTCCAGTTCAAAACCAAGAATATGAATATGGTCTACTGCTGATGAAAATTGCAAGCGATTGTTGTCTCTGTCTCCTGCAGGGACACTAGTTTGTTGCAGAAAAATCCCCTGGAAATTAAGTCACCCTTACTAGGCGTGCAAGCCATTTCTGATTCTGTTTTCTTCTGTGTTAAAGAATTTTTCTTCACATGCCCTGCAACACACATGCAAGCAACTAGCCCTGCCAAATGTTTTCTTGCCCAGAGTCTCTGGAAACTTGATCCCCAAATTTGACAGAAAAATTGCAATGCAACTAACAGGAAAATCAGTTAAGCCTAACATGGTTTTACCGAATAGTCCCTCCAGATTGATAGAATGCAGTAGTTTCGTTACAATTAGATAAAGTTGAAGAGGAGCAAAACTTTTGGTAGATGGCTCATGTCAGAAGCCTTGCATTGATATATACTTTGCGGTGGTCGAGTTCTAAACAGTGCAAATCCAAGATGATGGATACATGTATATACCATCCAAGATTCATGATCGTTGTTAAGTCTTGAGGTATGGAAGAGATCTGAATAGGGCTAACAAAATCCCTCCCTTCCGGATTACAGATGGCATGTCTGGGTACATAGATTTAGTTATACAGACCTCTTAGTCAACAAGTTACCACTCATATTTTTACTTTTTTTCCCTCAAAAATGAACCATTGATTTACACAATGTAATAGAAATCTCTGCAAAACTCACTCTTCTGCCTCCTCAGCCCTACTTTCTGTTTCCTCCAATTCCACTTCAAGCGCAGCGATCTTATTAGCAATCTGCAGAAATCAATCAAGAAAATATCCACTTCAACAAATGTTCTAATTTGTAATGCAGAGAAAGCAAAGAAAAATCACCTAGAAAGAAGAAATGACTAAAAGATTAAAAGCTTCACCAGAATGGATATTTTGATGTTCTGACATCCTATCACAAATCGAATTTAAAGAACAGCAGTCCACTTCCATCCTTGTAATCTTGGACTTTGTCTCCAAAATACTTGTTGTTGTGCTCTTTTTATCCAATTTATTTGTGATATATTTGGGGGCATTTGGGACTACAATATGAACATTAAGAAAAGAGCTGACCATAATCAGTTGGCACACTGGGACATTACTAGCCTCTTGACTCTTAACTATAAACATTTGTGAATTGTATCATCCCACTCTTTTCATATAAACAGCATAAATTACAATTATATTATCTGAAGATCATGTTGTGATGTTTACAAATTTCTTCTATAACTCTAATAATGACATTGCTACAATTATATTGAAAGTTGAGTGGTTTAACCTCTTCATATTCTTGCTCAGCTCTTTCAGCTCGGTCACGCTCCTCTGCCAGCTTGGCTTCAAACTGGGAGGACTAGAAAAGAAACAAAACTATTGTCAACTTGATGCAGACCAAAAGAAAATGCAAACAATTCTTAGCACAATACAGGTACACAACATTTAAAGCTCAGATCCATAAGTTGTCACCACTGTTTACCACATTAAGGTACTTCATTCAGCAGGCTACTTGTTTCTGTTCAAGGCTAGAAGATTAGCCAACTAAGGATTTAATAACACATTAAGAGGAGCATCGAAAGGGGCCTTCAGTTATAATAACAAACTTGAAAAGTGCAAGCTTGTTTAGTAACTTAATTTATTATATGGCTAGTTCCGTGAGCGGGCAAGATGAATCAAATGCTGCACTGTGATTGGCTACCCGAGCGGGCAAGATGGAACTATCTTGCCCGCTCGGGACTACCCACCGTGTCCCGCAAAAAATTTCCCCGAAAGCCATATAATAAATCCTTTACTGACCAAGCTTGTTCGGTCAAGATAGCTGGATGTTGGCCTCGTTCTTTTTTTTCGAGTTTATGGACCTTGACTCC